ATCGGCATCTGTATATAGTTTGTTAGCTTATGAGAGCATCTCTACAAAAAGGTGCCTAACGTCTGGTATTCACCTTGGCCTCTCTAGCTGCCAGTTGTCACAAGGAAGCCTTTTTTTTATTTTTTTAAGAGTGGGAGCTCATTCCATAAATCCAACCCTACTATTAGGGGCTGCGGTATAGACCAGAGTATATATATATATATATTGGCAAGAACCTATCTCCATCCTGCTCCTGGCTCTGAGCTTACTTTGCCATCCCAGACTTTTTATTACCATGGATCCCGAGTCTTGGATCAGCATTTGTATATATAACTAATAAAAAGAAATATTTAAAGAAAGGAGTTTCTCAAAGAAATGGCTACTTAAAACCCCTGTATAACATTCTTTTCATTGAAGTCTCAAATATAAGCTTTTGTGAATATATTCAGTAGAAAATACTAAACCAGAGGTCAGTATATGAGATTGCAAAGACTCTATGGAACTTCAAAAACACAAGTGTCTGCTTTTAATATTCTTTACAAAGTTTAAAGTGTTTATATTCCGTTTTGCTTTGTGCAGCCATAAAAGTAAGTGCATAATATCTTTATAAGAAATGTGATTAATAACCTTCACCGCACTAACATTTCCTGTAGGCTTTAGCCTTGTAAACTACATAAAAAATGTGGACATAAAAAATACTCAGACATGTGGTATCTCAGGGGATTAGAACTTGGCTGCGAAGCTAAATCCTCTACATGAGGATTGCATCAACCTAAACCTTTCACATTTCACATACTGCACACACTGTTAAATATTGTTGACCCTACATTTCAAGTCACAAGTCATTTTGATGTAGATTATCAGCATGGTATCCAGTTTAACAAAAACATCGCTTAGAGTACAAAATAGGGTTTGAAGCCGCGTTTAGCAGGGACTAGTCATTATTATGGTCAGCTTTGTGGTTACTTTGAAATATGAAGGCCCAATTATCTTCCTGATTTGTGTTTCGTGGTTCACCTAATGATGTTGTTCCATCATATGCAGGACACAGTGAAACACAGATCCAGGCTGACTGTTGTGACATTTCCTGTAGAAGCCGGTAAATCTGCAATACAGGTGTAGCTTGTCCCCACCTAGATACAGGAATAAAGTGGGTCACTACTGTCACAATGGTAACATTTACCTGTGCCAACAAGGGTCAATTGTCAAGGCCAACAGAGCATATAGATTGATAATGGCAAGCCTTCAGCTCTGTTCAGAGAAAACAAAAAAAGTCACTTTGAGGTCTGCTGTATACATTAGAGGGATTTTAGCAAAGCCTATTGCATATCCTTAACTCCTTCCATCCTGTGGCTATTGGATTAGCCATTCCAGTACCCATGCTGGAATGTTGAAAAAGTTGGAGATTATGCCTTTACTATAATCCTGCAACAAGTCCAAGTGTTGTAATTAGAAACAATCTTGCCCTTTAGATGAAAAGTCTTCCAGAAAATACCCAGTAGGGTTCAAATGTCCGCATTTTCTAAAATAATCAATGCAGACGTAAAAGAAAAAATAAAATGTGCATATATGCTCTGGCTCCTGCAGATTGTTCCTCCAGGTATGGACTTTCGGTTACAGGGATGGGAGGAAGTATAAATGGACCACAAGTGCAGTGACATCAGCGGTGGCAGATGTGATTTGAAGTTTCTTCATTCACAGATCCTGTCAAAGGATCTGTGAATGGGTGATGCAGCTGTGTGGGCAGAGCAACGCACAGCTGTGCCAAATTAAAAGAATAGCAGCAGCCTGTGGGGAGAACACCACGATTTAGATAAGTGGGGGGTGGCAACGTGAGCATGTTTCATGCTACACCCTGATTTCTAAGAGTGGAAGTTAAGGTGAAAAAAATAAAGAAAAAAAATGGTAGGTAAGGTAGACATGCAAACACTCTTCTGCCCCAAAAAAGTCTTCCTCTCTCTCCCCAGCGGGTTTTTATTTTTTTGTGTACACTGTGGGGTGCATGCACCCATCTGTAAGATAGTGAGTGGGCTGGGTGATCTGGAGGATGTAGCTCCTGTGCACACGTGCAGGAGTTACATCATCAGTGGCCACCCAATGGCCAAAGAGAACTTCTGAGAACCTGGAAGTCTCAGTAGCGGAAATGGTGGCAGCGTGGGACAGCGCTAAAGACCAAAGATTAATCCAACAGCGTTACAGAAGAGTGGGTTTAAGATAAGTGTGCTGATCCACATTGCCCAGGCATATTGCAGTGTTGTCGCCATTTAAAATAAAAAAGTCCTGTGGGAAAATACAATGCAGCCAGCTACAATCAGGAAATGTGCCCTATGAAAAAACACATGCAGACAGGGACACCCACCCGGGCCCAAACTTTCCAAGATACACAGACATGGCAATTTGCTTTGATTGGACATGGCAGTGCTGTGCACTGTTTAAAGTAGTAATAGTGCAGTCGTTTTTTTCTTTTCTTTTTTAAGTGCAGCGTGGTGTGACGCAGTACAACTGCTTTGCACCATGCTGCAGCTGTAGAACTTAATGAAACATCACTTGTGACATTTCAATAAAGTTTTAACAAAACAAAGTACACAGCTCCATGCGCCGTGAACAATGCACCAGCACAGTTCCCTCTCCGCGGACTCCCTCTCCGTGGCCCTGCATTCAACGTGGCTTTCTGCTGTGAAGCAGCCCTTATACTGGAGGTGGCTGGCTTAACCAAAGCCCCCTTATTGGCCCTTCTAGATTAACTGTCTTATGTTCAAAAGCCAGGCAGTACATTATCATTACAAAGGATACAGTCTGGCGAATTTCTGCAGGTCTGTGAACCTTGAACATGAAGGTCTCAGTGCAAACCCATGGTAGTGGTAAACCCGAACCTTATCCCTATTACAGTAGTAAGCCCTTGTTCCGGGATGACAGGTCCAGGTGCCATATGCCACCCTGTCCACTGCCTCTGCCATCTTCCTTGCTATTCTTTGGCCATTGGGCACCTAGAGGTTACATCATCCCCAGCACCCAGCTCTATTCTCAGTATGCCGAGATGAGCCAGGATGTAGACTGCAGGGCGCATGCACCATTGATTGAGGAATATATTTCAGTGAAAGTTTTTGTGTTCGGTGATCGTCTCTAATGAATCATTTACATTCATAACTGATTGACTGAAAATAGGAGTAGAGAATACAGTCTATCACACAGTGTGGAAGAATACTGCATGTGTTGCAGTGTTTGATCTTTTATAGGATGAATCGCTAAAATCGCTGTGCATGACCCAACATGAGGTTGCCGATGTCTGCAGCCGCAGTTTAAAAAAATTATTTATTGACTGATGCACTTCAACAGAATACAGAATCAATAAAAGTGGTAAGGATATAAAGTCCACAAGTACAAGAGTGTAAGTGTACAGCACCATATGGTACAAGAAATCCAAAGCATGTAAAGTCATAAATTAGACGTAGCCATAATAAGCCACACAATAGCCGTTTCTATAGGAGCTGTAGAGATCCAAAAAAGCCCCATAACTAAAAGTGGTATATTTGGTCAGATGCGGGTCGAGGTCAGAGGAGGAGAAGGTGGAAGGGGAAATGAGGAGAGAAAGAATAGAGGACAGAAAGCACGGGACCGAGCACAACCCTAAAACCATATTTGGGGGTCATGCCCTCAACGCAAAACAGTATCAGTGTGCGTCAGATAGTAAGTGAGAAATCCCACATGAGAGCATCAGGAATGGGTGAGGGATTAAGTCGCATATGTTCAGAATTGAGAGAGAGAGCGGATGAGGGCACTGTGAGGAGGTCCTGTAGCTCAACCATAGACCCCAGGTGGCATTGCATTGACCTTCCGCAGCTGGATTTCAGTGTATTATTCCATAAGACAAAAGATGTGACTGCTGTGCTCTCTGCAGCTCATTATGACACACAGGGAACATTGGGGATGAACATGTGTATGACCATACAGGTGCAGTGCTGATCACAGCAGAGCTCCATTATCTTCATCCCTCTCATTATCATCATCATCATTCCCCTGTCGCACACCAGAGCCCCATCATCAGCATCCCTCTGCCAGACACCAGAGCCCTATTATCATCATCCTTCTTCCAGACACCAGAGCCCTATTATCATCATCCCTCTTCCAGACACCAGAGCTCTATCATCATCATCCCTCTGCCAGATACCAGAGCTCTATCATCATCATCCCTCTGCCAGACACCAGAGCCCTATTATCATCATCCCTCTTCCAGACACCAGAGCTCTATCATCATCCCTCTGCCAGATACCAGAGCTCTATCATCATCCCTCTGCCAGACACCAGAGCCCTATCATCATCATCCCTCTGCCAGACACCAGAGCCCTATCATCATCATCCCTCTGCCAGACACCAGAGCCCTATCATCATCATCCCTCTGCCAGACAACAGAGCACCACCATTATCCCTGTTAGACACCATAGCTCAATCATCATCATCCTTGACAGACACCAGAGCTCCGTCATCATCATCCTTCTGCCAGACACAGGAGCTCCATTCTCTTCATCCCTGAGAGACACCAGAGCTCCATCATCATCATCCCTGCCAGACACCAAAGCTTCATCATTATCCCTGCCAGACACCAAAGCTGCATCATCCCCCTGCCAAACACAGGAGTTAATCATCATCATCCCTCTTGCAGACACCACAGTCCCCCCATCAGCCATAGTGACACGGCACAGTGCCCGTGCAGAGTGCGTGTCTCGTCCTCCGGTAGCACGGGGCTCACATGCTATGCAGCGTGTAGTGCCGAGCGCTAATTGTTCCGCCCTGTGGCCGGCTGCAGCAGTGCCTGGCTCTCCGTCAGCATGTAATGAGGCATGTGATTACAGCCTGTGCTCCGGGAGGAGGTGGCTTCGGGATTTGCATGGGCTGAAGGTAAAAGCTGTGATCGTCTGATTATTTTTAGCTGGTGTGTGGTGCGGATCACGTTGCACGGAGTGGGGGGATTCGCTTCTCTTGCACCGGGGACGCCAGGATTTGTTGGATCCCTTTCTGTGGACACACCATCATCCAGCTCAGCTCTGCACCCTGGAAATGGCCAGCCCTGCGCTAGACCTGGACGAGAGCACCCCGACGCACGAATCCCCTCCAGAAGCCGCCTGCAGAGAGGCACAGAAGTGGATCGAGGTAAAGGGACTTTTCTGTATGATCAGGACCAGGAGGGAGGTGGACTGTTAGGACTGTTCAAGATGAGGATTCTTCTGTGGTCTCTGCTATCCATGCTGATCATTGTATTGTACTGTCACTGCTCTCCTTGCTGACCATTATATTATACTGTCACTTCTATCCACACTGACCATTATATTGCACTGTCACTGCTCTCCTTGCTGGCCATTATATTGTACTGTCACTTCTCTCCATACTGGCCATTATATTGTACTGTCACTTCTCTCCATACTGGCCATTATATTGTACTGTCACTCCTACCCATACTGACCATTATATTGTACTGTCACTTCTCTCCATACTGGCCATTATATTGTACTGTCACTCCTACCCATACTGGCCATTATATTGTACTGTCACTTCTATCCATACTGACCATTATATTGTACAGTCACTTCTCTCCATACTGGCCATTATATTGTACTGTCACTCCTACCCATACTGACCATTATATTGTACTGTCACTTCTATCCATACTGACCATTATATTGTACAGTCACTTCTCTCCATACTGGCCATTATATTGTACTGTCACTCCTACCCATACTGACCATTATATTGTACTGTCACTTCTATCCATACTGACCATTATATTGTACTGTCACTCCTACCCATACTGACCATTATATTGTACTGTCACTTCTATCCATACTGACCATTATATTGTACTGTCACTTCTATCCATACTGACCATTATATTGTACTGTCACTTCTATCCATACTGACCATTATATTGTACTGTCACTTCTATCCATACTGACCATTATATTGTACTGTCACTTCTATCCACACTGGCCATTATATTATACTGTCACTTTTATCCATACTGATCATTATATTGTACTGTCACTTCTCTCCATACTGGCCATTATATTGTACTGTCACTGCTCTCCATACTGATCATTATATTATACTGTCACTGCTCTCCATACTGATCATTATATTATACTGCTATACATACTGATCATTATTATACTGTCACACTGCCATTTATACTGATCATTATATTGTAATGTCATATTGTCACTGCTATCCATACTGACCATTATATTGTACTGTCACACCGCCTTTCATACTGATGATTATATTATACTGTCACACCGCCATTCATACTGATGATTATATTGTTGTGTCACTTCCACTACTACCCATTTTCAAGATCCTTCTGTTGTGTCAGTTTGTAGTGTTACACTGTCAATACTCTACATTATGATCCTTCCGTTGTGTCAGTTTGTAGTGTTGCACTGTCAATACTCTACATTATGATCCTTCTGGTGTGTCAGTTTGTAGTGTTACACTGCAAATACTTTCCATGCTGAGTTTTTAGTTGTGCCGGTCTGTAGTGTTACATTGCATCTGTTATCCATACTGATGATTCTTCTGTTGTGTCACTTTATAATGTTCCATGGCCACTACTTTCCTTGCTGATGATTGTTCTGTTGTGTCAGTCTATAGCATTGCACTGGTAACACTATCCACACCGGGGATGCTTCTGTTGTGTCAGTCTATAGTCGGGTGCTAAACCTGTGGCCCCAGGCCCTTTTGGTGCTTGTGGTGCAGCTCTTGGACCCCAGTAGACAGCAGAGGGAGCATTGATGTGTAAAATAACTATAACAGCAGCAATCTCTAGCCGGCTTATGTAACATGTCCCCAGCCTAACAGTCTCCAGCCTTCAACTACAATTTTAGCATATCACCAGCTTCTGACCATCTCCAGCAGTATGCTATAAGTTCCTGACAATCCTCTGTGGTATTGCATATACTAAATATCACTTGAGACCCCCTGGAGATTTCTGGGGCCACATTTGAGGCCCCTATGACTAGTTAGTTGACAACTACTGCTCTGTAGTCTTGCACTGCCAATACTATACATTGTGATGAGTCTTCTGTTGTGCCAGGTTTATAGTGTTACTCTACCAGTACTATCTACGGTATAATGATGATTATAGTGTTGCACTGTGAGTACTATAAATCCGGATGATTTTTTGTTGTTGTTAAGTGATGGTGTTCCACCCACCACAACAGTCTGCTGTATGCATGTGTAAAGAAGAATTCTGCCCCAGGTCGGTGTAGTGTTTCATGCTATCTTATATTTTCTCTTTTGAGGTGTTCTGCCAGCTCCCCATCTATCTGCTACAGTTGCAGCAGCTCCAAAGCACATGCTGCAATAGATGTTGTCTCTATGCAGTAGCTTAGTATTCATTTGCATGTGACGGGCAGGAAGCCTGTGTTATTATTCCAGCTGACACTGGAGATCAGACCATTATATTGTTGCAGGATTAATGCTGCTGAGCACACATAATGACTTTTCCATATAAGCCCATTCTGTTTAGGTGCTCAATGATTTTTATATGCTAAGTTGCCCAGTATACTGCTAATAGATCACTAACGCTGCCAGTGTGGTTAGACATGTGACATGCCTGTAGCAGTGAAGCAGGTATCTAGCGACGCAATATATCTTTCCTTTTGCATGCAAATATTTAATTGATAACAGTTAGTTGGGCAAATGCTTTAAATGTCTCGTTTCCCTTGCAAATGATTGTGCAGTGAGGCACTGCATACCTGCTATGGCTAGCCTCGGAGCTGTCAGCTCATGAACACAGAGCACTATTCATCCCCCTGTTTAGAATGGGTGAGCAGTGAGAAAGAGGGGCACACAGACGCTTCCTGGCTGGAAATAGGCTGTTATTTCTGTCGATTTTTCACGCAAACCTTGCGTTATGCCTTCTTTTCTCTTTGTAGGAACTTGTGTGCCTCTGGCTCAACCGAACAGTGCTGAAGAGACAGCAGTTGGGTTAAAACGACTCTGGGAAATTGAAGTCTTTTCTGGGCTGAGCAACACAAGCATTATTGTGTGATTGATTGCAACGTCTGTTGTTAACTGGGACTCTGAAAAGCCTGCAGAAGTTTCCATTGCATGGCTACTGTGAGGCAGCTCCAGCACCAGGCCCTTCATGGGACTGAATTGTTTCTTTTGTGTGCACGCAGGCTGAATACATGAATGATTTTGTTTTTTCTTGTGTTACAGTGGTTGCAGTATAATGCATAGATTCATAGGCCTGAATATGCAATAGGCTAGTAGTAAAGGGTTTTCCTAATTTCTGTGAATTTCTTCACTTGTATGAGTACTCATCATATATGAATAGCGTTCATAGTACTACAAATATTTGCTGTATGTAGCATAAGTTTTGATACATAACTTGGATCCTCAGCCTTATGAAGTTCCTACAATCTTATTAATAAAGGTATTGCAAAGAGAAGCAACTTGTAGCAGCCCAAAATCTTTCATTTGTTTCACAATGTATTAAAACTGAAGTGAAATCTAGTTGTTACAAGTAACTGGACTTTGAGGATCGTCCTTATGTACAGCCTAAAAAAATGGCTAGTCATCCCATGAGCTTTGATCCAGAGAGGGGGGGGGGGGGCCTTGCTGGGAATTTCCCAGTACACGGGGAGCCAACGGTGACATACGTTCTCACATGTATTGGTGGTGGCATATCATTGTATGACCTCCTATATGTGGTATGATGCTGCCTGAGAGGTAGGAACCGAAATATGGTCCCAGAAGCCGGTTTGGGGTCCCCAGATCTTAAATAAATGCAGCATGTATTGAGAATATCATTGCATGGTGGCAAAACAGAGCACCTCGGATCTTCATAGTTGCCTGTTTAAGGTCTTCGGCCATGTAACATTAGAACTTTATATTTTATACCTCTGATAGCTTAAGAGCTCACTGTAGTTTGTATGCCTCCTAAGGTGCATATCTATCCCCCCCCCTACTCTTGGTGTCCCTTTAGGACTAGAATTGAGCACCTCAATTTTTATACGGTACAGACCTTTAGCAGAGAAACTCAAGTCAAAGAAAAACAGTTGTTGGTGTTCAGGTCCTAGCTTAGTGTGCAGCCCTACTTATAGAGCAGGGGAGAAACTGGGACCCCAGTGCCAACATTTAGAGGATAAACCCCTATTGCACCCCTAGGCCCTTAGCACTTGAATCCTGTGCTACACAGTTCCACCTCCTTGTTTTTTCTCCAAATAAATTAGTCTAGCCATACACTAATCTATTTTTTTTTCTCTGTAGACCCAATTTCTTCATCAACACTAACAGCGTGTCTATCAAGGTATCCCGCTGTTTACATACAGCGGCTGCCGACAGCTGTCAGAATACCCGACCAGAGTGGCCAGCTGATTGGCTGCCTGCTCTGACCGTTCGAAAATTTTCCAGGGAGCTCCTTAGATCAGCTGATCGAGGGATGTCGGCCGAAAGTTGCTGTAAGCAGCTCACAATGTGCAAATTTCGACCGGTTCCTCAAAAACCGGCTGAAATTCGCAGTGTATGGGCACTTTTGACACTAATTTTGGAAGCACTCATAGCATTGTAATAATGAAACAAGGTGATTGGAGACTCTCATGTTGTGATATGTGTCTCTTTGGTCAGAAGTGCTCATGACTAGGGAGAAGAGGAACCATTTTGCCCACAGTACAAAAAAAAAACAAATCGTCAGCATAAAAGCATTGGCTTGAAATGCAGAGATTTAATCACTGTAGTTCAATAAAGATATAAGCAACACTTGGTTAAACTCTCCAGCATTTACCCAAATCTAAAATGTGCATTTTGGGTATATTGACTTTTTAACACCGCTACTTTTGAAGGGAACACAGAATTCCAGTTTCCTAGCACTGCCCAGAATCTATTGTACTAGTACATGATGTTGCACTAATTGCAGAGTGTTTTTGACAACAGGGTCTAACACAGGGGTGCCCACAATTTTTGTGTTAAGATCTACTTTTCAAACAACAAGCTACATGAAATATACCAACGCAAAAAACCCCTCCCTCGCTCTCTCTTTCTCCTGGCTCTCTCTCCCCGCTCATCCTCCTGGCTGTCTTTACTCTCTCTCTCTCTCTCTCCTCGTTGTCTCTCTTTGCTCTCTCGGCTGTCTCTCTTTGCGCTCTCTTTCC